CATAATTGGTAAGACAACCCCCGCCCGTTCATGCCCTCTGTATGTGTATATATATCTCCTCAATATATGTTCCACTCTATATGCATCTATATGCTGTAGCCCACGAAAGCTTATGCTCTAATAAATTTGTTAGTCTCTAAGGTGCCACAAGTACTCCTGTTCTTTTTATTAATAAAGTGCCTACTGTATACCAACCACTCCATAATGTATCACAGAGCATATAACCTGGTTATTTAAATCTCCCAGAAAGACTATGTATATAGGAAACTCATAATGAAACACTACATATTAAAATACACTCTAAGGAGCAAATTATTCCTGATCACATTACTTACTTACTGAAACTAGCCCAGCAATGACCAATTCATAATTTTGAAGTCATACAGCCATATCCCTGACAAGTAAATACTTTCTTCATTTTCACTGTAGGGTAGCTACATTTGCACTCCCATCAGTGGAGAAGAGCAGTGGTACCTACCTAATGTCTCCCCTATGGGCATTCCTGCAGGATTCTCTTCAATGAAGTTGTTCAAGTGAGATGGCAGCATTGGGTTGTGCTGTGCAATAGGTCTCAGAGGGTTACTGACTTCTTGCAACATGGGTGGGGGATGATGTTCTGAAATCACAGCATCTACTGCAGGAGAATGTGGTCGGTGGGGAATCGGGTTATTAAAAAAAGACTGGTTGGGGCCCATCTGGTAAGCAGGGGAAAGTTGTGAAGGTTGTGGAGGCTGCTGATTTACATGATTATGCTGCTGGACTACCTGGCTCTGCTGGGGTGGTATTTGGTTTTGCTGTTCAGGCAAATGATTTTGTTGCTGACTTAAAAGATTTTGCTGCTGTTGCACAGGGTATGGCTGCCTGGGGATCTGGGACAGGTGCTGGTAGTGGCGACTGGGGACTGCATACTGTGTATGGGGAGGGGTGAGATGTAGATTCAGCTGCCTAGGGTTGAGATTATCTTTGCGATGAAATTTAGAATTAGGATAACCAATGCTGGAACGCGACTCTGGGCTTCTATTTTGGGAATTTCCTTCTACGTCAACCTAGAACAAAGGATATAAAACATTTCAAAGTTACTTAAGAAAACAAAATCCTTGTAAGCTATGCCTGTACTACACTAAACAAATTAATCTAACACGGACTCAAGCATACAAAACCTCGGGAATGTGGGAAGAATAAGGAAGAGAAAGAAGGTACTGAACAGCTTAGACATATTCTTCTCTTTATTTATCAAACTGCAGGTATATTCTGCCAACAGTTCTGGCTGGCTTCGTCTTATTTACACTCCTTTACAGTGTTTGTGATATTTTATTAATCTGAAATTTCTCCCCATTAGAGAGAGAAAACTAATTCCTTCATCGCTATTTCACTAGGTGCAAACTAAGAAGTGCACTCCATATTTTCTTCTTATTCTTCTATATTTAAACACTACACTCAGACATTTCCCTCGTCAAATTTCTTTCTGTAGCTACTGTTATTGCAGAGATGAATTACCAGCTGCTTCCTTATGATCATATCTAATTTAGCTAATTATAGGCAACTGTCAAATGTTGAGCCTTTTGCTTTTATTTCTAGGACACAGACACCAAATATTTAATGGAAAAAGTCATTATTTGCCAGTTTTCGACATTTCACTTCAGAACACTCCATTATATGACTCACACCTTTATTTCTAAAACTGAAATTGTCGTCTACATTGCACTATCCGCTTACTCTCCCAGAAAATTACTGAAGATTTCGGAGTCTTCACTCCTAACAGAATTATTTACATTTATAGGAGTTTTATATCAAAAGGTACATTAATTTCTAAACATTTAAAAATCAATTACACTCAGTGCTAATCCTATGTGTAGACTTAAAATCAATACATTTAAAAAAAATTATTTATGCTAGCAGTCAGTGAAATCCAAATAGTAAACAAAGGGATTAAAATCATGAGCAAGGACAAGTAGCATGAGAAAGCATTTTTAAAAAATCAGATTAAAATCTTTTAAGTTTTCTCTTGTCCTTGGGTGATGAGAAGAGAGACCTATCGTCACTCAACAACAACTAGCGCTGATCAACACTGATGGATTCTGAAGGAAATCCCCATTCATTGCCCCGGGATAGAAATGTGGTGACTAACGGGGGAGAGGACCTGTTGAGCAGGAGGGGAAGAAATGATAGAATCCTCAGAGTGAGAGACGTAGTACTCAAAAGAGAAGGAAAATTATGGGGGGGGAAGTAACTCAAAACAGACCTGTTTGGATTCCACAGGTTTTTTCTCAGGTGTCCGAATTTTATTAATTTCAGGTCCAGCACTGTTTTCAGTTTTACCTAAAAATATTTATGATATTTATGCATTAGTTTCTAGGTATGTAAAGAACGAACAAATATTTTCAACATGTTTGTTTATTTTCCTTAGACATGGGCAGACTTAGAACTAGAAGTCTAGCATTTATGACAGGGGGCAGAAACTTAACATACAACATTTCCTCCTAAATATGGCCTTCCCCTTACCCTGTATGTTTTAACTTTTGTATTTGAATCATTACAAAGTACCTCTTCCAGTTCAATAGCTGTGCTACTGGAGTTATTGCAGGAGAAAGGAATCACTGGTTTGTGCAAGAGAAATAGAAATGGGCCGAACACAGGAACTTTTTATCCTAACCACTTCCCTCCCTGAACTTTGGTAGCTCCGTAACCTTTGCTCCAAACAAACACTGACTATTTTGTTTGTAAAGGCAAAAACACCTTACTTAGCACCTCTCTTGTTTTAACTTTTAAGCCGCTAACTTTAAGAAAAATTAGAACACTGAATGATTCTATGGAAAATTATTCTTTTTAACCAAAGCAAAGGCCATCCCTAAAAATCATCCATCACTGGAATTCTATGAGATGGTAGGGAAATCACATGAAAGCACTTGAGCGGATTTTCAGTGGCACTCACACTGCCCAGGTCCTGGCCACCAGTCCGGGGGTCTCTGCATTTTAATGTAATTTTAAATGAAACTTCTTAAATATTTTTAAATCCCTATTTACTTTACACACAACAATAGTTTAGTTATAGATTATAGACTTATAGAAAGAGACCTTCTAAAAACGTTAAAATGTATTACTAACACGCAAAATCTTAAATTAGAGTGAATAAATGAAGACTCGGCACCCCACTTCTGAAAGGTTGCTGACCCCTGCTGTAGAGGGATAAATGAAGTAAACTATTGCTTGTCACTATAGCAAGCAAATATGATTCAGAATATCCATCAGGAGAAGATCTTTTGAGTATGAAGGTGGCATTTTTACGTAGTCATTTTTCTGATCATAATCACAGTTTAAGGAGAAATTTAAGTGGTAGCCAAATCTCAAATAGGACCACAATGACATTTGACTTTATTCCAGATTCACTCTTCAATTCCCAGAATGGAGACTATTTTATTCTAAGCCCTAAATCATTTGGCAATGATTGACAATGTATTTTCCTACCTATTGGAACATAAATGGTTTTCCATCTATATTACAAAAAAAATCATAAATGACATTTCAATAACCGGGGTCCCTGGGTCTTCAGGATACTCCCGTAGGGTTATGTCCAATGCTAAAATCATATTCAAGGAAATGAATCCTCCACTACCACCAGTCTACAGTCTGGTCTACAGCCTTGCACAGCCCCCCTTTAAAGACACATAATTCATAGGCATAATAAAGCCTACAATAAAGATAGTATTTCCAAACACCAGCTATTTTCCTGGCTAGGCAACATCACAAATAACTATTTCTGCTTAATATATTTGCTAATGTTTTACAAAATAGTCTAACTTTGTGTCTATTTCCTCACATCCACATCCCAAAACACACCAACTTCGTGGGGTGTCTCAGGAAAGAGAACAGGTTCGGTATGGGCCATGGGAAATGAACTACCATCAGCCCCCTGAAGAACGGGATTGGTGTTCACAAGTTGGGGATGGCATGGAGAACTCTGCCCTGTGATCGCCATTCCTGGGTGTAAACAGAGGAACAAGTTTCCATTGCTGTCAAATTCAGCATCTGTCAGGAACATTCAAATTCACTTTAAAAATGACAGGTTTCTCACAATATTCTGTCTGAACTGCAGATATGGTCACCAAACAAGAAGTCACCCGCCGAGGGATTTGAAGAAACATACAACTCACCATTTCGATTTTGTTCATGTTGCTCCTTTTCTTGATGTTGAAGTGGCTGCTGCCCTATACTAACTGGTGAATGATGTCCCAGGCCATAAGGTATAGGAGACCCGCGCCCATGCGCCTGTAACAGGTTCATATTATATGCCATAGCTGCTTGGTGCGTAATGATTCGAGGATCAACTGCAAACCTACCCTGATACCCTGTCCACGGTACCTATGTAATTAAAAAAAATAGATGCAATAAATGAATGTACATTTAAGGAAAGGCACAGTGTCAATTACAATTACTATGGCATCATCAGGAAGCACTTCTCCATAGTAGTGGTGATGATGAGGCGATAAAGCATTTGTGAGTGATAGGAAAAAAAAGCAACAAGTTCAGGCAAAGAGCAAAAAGGTCAGGCATAGTAGCAACGGTCACAGAGAAGAAGACTTTTGAAGAAGAGTGAGATAAACCAACAATGAGGGCTACATTGGGGATGAGGGCAATCATGGAAGTGCATCTGACAGGAGATAAGACTTGAAAGCCACTGAAACAAGAAGGCAGGGACCTTCCCTTCTCCTAACTGCAATAAAAGCAGATGAAACTGATTAAATAAAAGAGGTGGGTCAATGCACCGTTACTGCAGATATTCAAGACCAGGTTAGATAATATATTAGTGAAAGATGGACAGAGTAGCCTATGAACTAGATACCATGACCAGGCAGGTCACTCTGTCCACGAAATGCCCCAGTAAAGTCAGTGGGGCTCTGGTGGGCTCAGCAAGCAGTCCAGCCACACGTTACACGCTGAAGGACCTAAAAATCTATGTTATGGGACATATTTTAAAAGGCGGGGGGAGGGGTCAAGAAGGGACAAAAAGGGTCACACGCCACTCCCCAGATGCCTGGGGGGGGGCACATTCAGAAGGGAACCGCAGCAGTGAAAGGAGCAGAAAGTGGGGCCGCTGGGTGGCCCCATGCTGTCAGCTCCTCCAACATGGATGTACTGCCCCCAGTCCGCTCCCAGCCCTTCCACACAGCTGCTTCTCCTAGGGTCTGTACAGCTGGAGGACAGGGCTGGGGGTGACACTGGTAAAGCCATGCCAGAGGAACTGCTGGCATGGGGCCGTCCTCTTTTCATCTGAAATTGGTATCTGGTGCAGCGGGAGGACAGAGCCCGTCCCTCCTCCCAGGAAAAGCACGGGGGCCCGGGTTGGGGAGCAGGACGGGGACAAGTCACGTGGGGGGTCATGTGGGGAGGTCACATGCCCCCCTGTGTGTTCCTCCCATGAGTCGCCCATCTGTTTGAAATAAAATTCACTTCTTGAAAGCGTGAAATCGAGGGTCTTTAAAATACTGTGCATTTCGTTCCCTAAAATCTGAAAAGGAAGACATCCCTGGATCAAATTAGTTCAATCTTCCCCTGTGGGGAAGTTTATTAAAAAAGGCGATCCCATGAATAAAAAGAAAATGAAATGAATATCATCAATGCTCAGTGTGACAAACCATCCTTAACTGAGGGCAGCAGACAACCTCCCTCATTTTTTACTCTGGATATGAAAGCTGCCCTAAACGATACAAAAAGGCCTTTTTGTCTTACATGGCCGCAGTCATTTTATTATATTTTTAATAAATTAATCCCTTCATTATTTGCTTTAAACATAGTATCTTCCAAGTAATTCATTAGATTTTTGCAAATATTTGCCTTTGAAACCTGTACTCCCGAACTTCAGCTGTGGGCTATGTGCTTCCTCCAATTGTGTCTGTGCAATTTCAAATAATCTCCAATATACTTCCTTTTTGAAAGCAGACGTCTTATTAGTATGTGGACCTTCAGACCTAATTATTTAAAAATCCATCCCTGGGGCGGGGGTGGAATATGCTCAAACATACTGATATTTTCATATTTTTTCTTTTGATTGGAGGTACATAGGAATATATTAGGCCTTAAAATGTAAAACAGAAAAAAATATTTAAATTATTTTGTTTTGATATTAATAAAAAGTGAGTAAGCATTACAAAGCTACAGCTGCTGGCCTTCTCATTCCATTTAAATTTAACCATCATATGCAGACTTCTGGTAACCTAGTAAAAAGAAAACTTATTTGACCTAATGAATGGAAATCAGTGGTCTTACTACTTAAAAATGGAGAAGATTGTGTAATCTATAGTTGCCAGATGGTCTGGGCACCCATATTTGAAAGCACAGGTTTATAGCAAGCCTCAAAATAGTAGCCATGAATTGGATTTTCATAAAGAACCCACACAACTATTAAAAAAGTTAACCGTGTGTGAATATTTACAAATGTATAAGAAATTATATGTACACATGTGCATGCATACATCCTATCCCTAAAGAAACTTTCAGGAGATGTGCACAACTATGTTACTGCACAACATTATTTCTGTAACTACTGTTCTCTCTTCCCCAATTCCCTACCTACTTTTTTCTGCTCTTAATCTTAGATTGCAAGGTCTCCAGGTGAGGGAACATGCTTTTTATTTGTACAGTGAAGTGTCTAGAACACTCTTTGGTGCTATATCAATGTATAATTCTGCAAGTAATTCCTGCAACCTAACAAACTGCAACCATCAGGTATTCTCATTGTATGCTCAAGTTATAGCTTCTTCTTTGACATCTCAAGGATGATCATTATTTGGTAACAGTGTGGGTAAAGTCACTCGGAATTAGTTGCTACATCTAATGGAGAGAGGAGCGGAGGGAATACGGACTCCCATTAAAAAAAAGTAGGGGGAATCTATTCATATAGCAATGCCAATGTTATCAACAACAGAACCAGACATGTAATTTCAGCAGCACAGTAATCCTCAAAGGAAAATTAATAGTTCTAATTGATCAGCTGGACAGTTAACTGCTTGTAACTCAATTTTCATATGCTGGTAATATTTTAAGTGCCCAAAGCTGAGGTGAGCTAGAATCATCTTCTATTGCCTAGTGTGTTTTGGTTCAGCAGTACAACAACTTCAAAAGGTGTGCTAGTCATAAAGCAACAACTCTGAGGGAATTAGATGCACTTCTCGTGATGCTCCAGAGAGAAAGATACCTCTCCCATTATGCTTATTCCTTCAGGGGACTCTGATGTGCACCTGTGAAGCTTCACAGACGTGGATTTGAAAATCAGACTTACATGCAGAGAATATGAAAGACTAGAAGCATAAACTCTTGGATTTTCAGTCAAATTAGCCACAGTCAGAGGTCCCGTTCAAGTACTCAGCTGTTCAACATTCAGAGACATGGGATTATAGTCCTATCTATTCAAGTCACAAGCTTTAAAGCAAATATTGCTATCATATAGTTCAAAAATGACTTTGCATAGAGCAATGAGAATGTCTGTGGTAAATATTTAGGGTCTGAACCTAATCTTATACCACTTTTACTGTGGTGTAATTCCATTGACTGCAGTGTCTCCTGAATTACAAAGGGAAAGGCAAATCAGAAAATGCCCCTTAGGCCTGGTCTACACTAGAAAATAGGTTGTCTTTAACTACGTCGCTCAGGGGTGTGAACAGTTTATTTAAGCCTACCTAAGTCCCCGTGTAGACAATGCTAGGTCGATGGAAGAATTCTTCCATGGATATAGCTACTGCTTCTCGGGGAGGTGGATTACCTACGTCAACACTGAAGCACTAAGCAATGCACTGCAGCGCTACACCTGCGCTGCTGTAGTGTTTCAAGTGCAGACAGGCCCTTACACAAAATGAAGAGAAGCAATTTTGAAGCCCCAAGTACTCAGCAAGCCACATTTTCTTAGCATGCTAAAAGACAAGCAAGCAAACCCATTCTAATTTGGGTACAGTATTATTCAAATTGTGTTGTTTACATGTTATATTTTTCCTTGTATTTTTATGGTAATAAAAGTATGATCCATGGCCTTCCAGGTCTGGATTCTGACTGGCTAAATACATACAAAAGATGGATAATATTGTAACTTGTTTTAAAATCCAAGTCACTGAAACAGTAATAAAACAAACCTGTAAATTATTATCTTAATTAGTGAATGTGGGGAGTTTGGGTGGAGGTTGTATATACAGTACTTTTCTTTTTATCTAAGGAGAAGACTGGGTAGGTCAATGGTTCAATTAACTAACCTCATACTTTGCAAATCTGAGATCAAAGGCTACCATGATAATATGATCTGTTCTGAAAACCCCAGGGCTATTACTGACTACTATTACTATGCTTTATAAAAGATGAGGACTTTTGAAACTTTACAACAGTTCTCTCTTCACACTTCTACATAGAAACCACACTGTCACTTCTATTCCTCCGCAAATTCAACTAACGCTTGTGAAACAATATTATTCAGAAAGCTTTTAATAATTGACCATTATATCTCAACTGTTCCTGCATTCTCAGAAGAAGAATTAATTAATCAGCAGTAATTAATCATGACCATCTTCATTCGATTTCAATATGGGTAAACCTCATATGGCTTAAACATGAAAACCCTTTTAGGCTGTGTGATATTCTTCGTAGGAGCAACATCATTAAGCCCTTGCAGCTTGGTGATCATCACCATATTCCTAGCTGGGAAAACCCAAGTAAGCATGAAAGAGGCTGGCACACTTTTCACTACCTAGTCTTGTGTTCATTTTATCTATATAATAAAAGAAGAAAATAGGAAAATAAATGCTTACAGGTAAAGGCACAGACATGACCATATTTCCTCCATAGACAGCAGGTACGTAAAGAATACTTGTCCCAGTGTGAGGATCTATCCTTTGAACAGGGCTTGGAGATTTTCCCAGGTTGGGATGAGGTCCAAGAGGAGGAGGAGGAGGAGGAGGAGTATACGCTCTGATAGGATTTCCAATTAGGACAGAAGGATTGGGCTGAACTGAAAAATAAACAAAAAAGAAACACAAAGAGAGGAAAAGAACATGAAGTACTTCAGTGACTTATTTTTTTCCCTTCCAAAAAAGGACCCTTCTTTACAAATTCACCTTTATACAGAAGAATCTGATACAGACAGAGAGAGCATTAATCTAAAATCAATATTCTTTCTATAAGTTTCCCCAGATCCAATAAACAAGCTAAGTTTTAGTGAACTTCTGGGACTAGGAGAAAGCAGAGGAAGAGGGCGGGGGAGAGGAAGAAGCAGGGGGAGTTATTTAAAGGAGAAGCTCCCCAGTGAGCACCAGCTATACATTTTTACTTAAAATTTGACATGACCGTTAAGGTGGCCAAATGAACTGTACAAATTGCACACACTACAACAATACAACCCTGGTTTACTTCTTCACTCTTTTAATAGGGACTAGAAATGCTTTTTAAATTAAAAACAAATACATATAGGTCTGAAGTCACTGTAGACTACCTAGCTAGAATATCATGATTCAGTAAGTTATAACTCTGTGTAGATCCATATATCCAAGTAAGTCCAAACTATGTTATAAAACAGTTAGAGGACTATCATTTTATACCATGATTCCCATGATTCTACACAGCCATTCTGCTAGTGTAGATCAGCTCACACACCCAGGTTATTGTATCCATTCCAAGGTGGTGTATAGCATGGGTTTCAGGCACAAATCCTCTTCCACAGGTCAGAACGATGATAGCAACAACTATGTTGCAACAAGGTTGTATCTAAGTTCTAAAGTCAGCATGCAAAGAGCATATAACGAGAACCCAGGAATTACCTAATGTCTACTGAAAGTATGCTGAGATATCTGCTGAATTCACATAAGGAATAAATGACTTTCAGAGACATAATGGGCCTGATCCTCCCTTAACACATACACCTGTATAAATCAACATTAACTTCACTGAAGTCAAACTAGTAGAAGCATGGGAGAATCATTCCCAGTTTCTCCAGAGAAACAGTAGACACTTACCAATTCCATCCGTTTGAAAATGGTCATTCTGATTATGATGATGGCCCTTGCCCTTGAATGAAAAAAAATCATAATCACTTACTTTTTTTTTTACATGTTTAATGCAGACCAAACACAAAGACAGTTCTTTATTTCAACACAGTAATAGTCAAGTAAATTAAATATAATTACAGAGAAGAGGTTGGAAAAAACAGCAAGTCTGCGACTCTTTTCTTGAGTCTTTTTACTTGCGCAATTCCACTGGTTCAGTACTGTTCCACCAAGGCCAGTACAAAGTACCATTAGTAAGCACCTCTGTTTCACAGTGCACTCTGCCCATCCTTCCAATTCCCACTGCCATACCTGACTACTAAACGGGAGTACTCAAAATTGCACTGTCTCTAATATTGCAATATCTGAAATGCTCCCATTTCTCCCTTTCTCTAAAGGAAAAGATATAGATTTGCTTTATTATTACTGCTTGAAACGGGAACTACAAGCAATCTGATACATGGATTTGAAATGACCAGTTTCACTCTAGCTTGTGTAAGTGCCTCTGCCTTTGCACGGTCTTTAAGATCTTGTGATATACACAGTGTTGGGGGACAGGTTCTCTGAGGATCTGATATCTTCTTTCGCTTCAAATTAAAATTTTAGAACAGAGACACTTGTCAGGATAAATATTATTATTATTTTGATTTGCCAGCTTTGACTGAGTACCTTGATAATCTATAAAGAATGGATAAAAGAACAAACTTTTCCATCATCACAGATGTGCAGGGAGAAAGCAAACAGCTGTTACCAACTTAACTATTAACAGCTCCCCTTCATCAACGTGTGCACACCTGACACTCACAAACGGGTTTCCAAAAATGTCTAGAGGTTTAGAGCACTCCAAAGGCCCTGGGACCTAAGCTCTGAACAGCAACAACTACCTTCGGACAAAAATTATTTACATAGATTTTAAGGTTTGATACTTGATTTTCAGCTAGTTTGACTCTGTTTGTATACATTACATTTACATTTTGCTGAAGGGGACTTTTGATTATGTATTCAAGACATGTATAATAAGGGCTAAGGAGCTAATCCTTATTTGTATAATTTGTACGACAAGAGGACTTTTAAAAACAAGAAGGCAGTTACTTACATAGGAAGACGGAAAATAAAGTAAAGAATAAGCAAAAGACCTGTAAAAGCATGTAAAAGGCTGCTAAATGTAAATAATGTACTCAGGCAACCATTTTAGAAACTGACTGGAAAATCCAACGCAATCAATTTAAGCATTGTTCATCAAAGGCCACCTCCAGACTACAAGGTAGGGATGTGAGTATAAATAGCAGTATAGCGGCACTGGAGGCATGGCTTAGCAGTACTGAGTACCTACTGCCCTGCAGGTTTGTATTCAGCCTCTGCTGCTGCTACCCATCCTACCACAGCTACGCTGCTATTTACATTCCTGCTAGTCTGCATCAAGATAGCGCAAGTTTTTATACACAAGCAGGGGAATCACACCCCTACTTCATAGTGTAGACGTAGCCAAAGAGACGGCAGACAGTAGTGCTAACATAATCCCTTTCTTCTACCGCTCAACAGTATATATCACATTTTATAAGTATTGTAAAAATACTTCCCCATTAGATTAGCTGAATGTGTCAAGTCAGAAACACTGTATATTATCGCTCTTGAGATTTTATATGCTGCAGTGAGGGGAGATGCAGTAGAAGTGATGGGCCAGCCAATTGCTGCTAAGTGATGCTGCCAGCGGTGGAGGAGATAAAGCATGGCACCATGCACCCTGAATGATAATCTGAGATCCTTTTAGTCATTTTCTGTTAATCAGTCACCCCACCTTTTGCAATTCATTATCGGTTGCTTGGTCTTTACTCCCCTGGTATCTGCTGCCCAGAAGGAATGATAGAGCAGATCTACAGAAGCCCCAGAACAGCAGATCTTTGGGATGAGTTCACCTCTGCCGTGTGTGTTTTATATTAGAAAGGGAGGCTACAGTCAGAGCTATCACTCCTACACTTTAAAGAACACTTAGGCATCAACTGAAGAAAGTACCTAAGCACCTGAAGTCAACAGGACAGGCACATGCTCAAAGTTAAGCATGTTCATAAGTTCTGAATAGGATGCTTTTCTGAATCAGGAAATACTCTCTCAAATTTAAAATATTTTTTAAAACCTATTGATGGCTGCAAAACTTTACTTGCCCAGTAGATAAGTCTAGGCAGTTTTCCAGAAGTCTGAGCTAATTATTCAGTTGTCTAAGTACAGAGACAGGTGGATTTGACAAACGTTGACCTATGCATAAAATGGATTAAAGGACAGTGTCAGACTAACAAGAACAGAACTAATCACGGGCTTTTAAAACTTGAAGGGAAAAAAAGGGAGGTTTATTACTTATTGTAGTTACTTCCTACGTGTGTTCAAGTATTATCTGCTTACTTTACTCCTGTCATCTCAGATGACAACTTGTCAACTATGTTCAGATGGAAGAGCTCTTATTACTGTGATGATGTAGGTGGAAGAAAGATTTTCAGATCTTAGGTTGAAATGAAAGTGCAGGCAGTTTGAAAATGTATCTTTTGACTTATATATCAAATGTGCTTAGTTTACAAGTCATTGAGAGTGAAAAAAATGAAACTATCTGCCCACAAAAACTCTTTTTTTTTAATATAACAATTTATCTGCCTTACAGAAACAGTGATTCTTACTTACTAATACAATACATGTCAAAAACATTTTCAAATTTTACCAATTAAAATCAAACATAGCAAATCTTTCAACTGTAAATTGCACTCAAGACTGAAACACCAGTAAAAAATGAAACAGCAGTAAGAGCAATTTAAAATGAACGGACCTGAAGTTTTTTATAAACCTAATGCTTTGATGCATTATTAGGAGCTTTAAAAAGCTGTACTTTGTTTCAGAGACCAATGGATCTTGATAAAGTAAATGAACAGTCCCAATTATAAAGACACATTTTGAAAGGATTACCAAAGTGAAAGCTTTTTTTATTGCACTGACAAATAAAATTAAAAATCAGCAGTGAAAACCAGCATTAATTTGAAAATTCACTTTAACTGTTAACTTGTAATAAAAAAATATAAAGTTGCAAAAAATTCTGTTTTTTCTTCACATAAAATGAAATTTTTAACAGGCCTAACAAAGCACATTTTAATTACAACTGCAAACATGGATCAATTAAAACAGTATCTTATTTACTGACATTTTGTGACAACTAAATATAGAACTTCATATTATTCTTCATGAGCACAATTAAGAGGGGAACATATGCTTTAACCATTCATGTACTATCTTCTCTCTTGGGAAGGGGAGAGAAAGTTAGTTTTGTGCAATGGTAAACTTCACCCTTATATCAACCAAGAACATCTTCTAGTTACATCCTTGATAGTAATCAAATTTGGCCTTTTGATGAACAGCAATAATCAGTTAATGCTAAATAAATACTGTATTTCAATAGATTTAAGGCAAGAAGGGACCATTATGATCATCTAATGTGACTGCCTGCAAAACACAGGCCACTGAATTTTTGCACCAAGTCTAAAAATGTGTGGTTATTGTCACACTGGTTCTTCGTTTTCCCCTCACTGGCCTGTCTATATCCACCTGTTGTCTCTTGTCTTAGACTGTAAGCAATTCGGGGTAGGGACTGTCTTTTTGTTCTGTGTTTGTACAACACCTAGCACAATGGAGTCCAGGACTGGGGCTCCTACATGCTACGGTAATACAAACAATAAATGAATGAATGAATGGTGGTTGAGCTAGAGCATATCTTTCAGTAAGAGATCCAATCTTGTCCAGTCCAAGCTATTGCTAAATAAATATCACCTTGTAATTAGGTCTAGTGCCTTCTTTTGAAATTGTTAACGGCACCTTCAGCAACTGCATTGACATCTCCGACTGCAAGTCTGTATATGAGTGGAAGCTATTTTAAAACAACAACTAGCCCAATAAACCTTTTATGTCATTTCTCGACAGATATTTCTACCTTCACTCCCACCTCCTGACAAACTTCATTACCAGTTATGCTTTACCTTGGGTGGTGATTGTTGCTGTTTGTTGGTATTTGCTGAATGCTGCTGTCGCAAAGCCCGAGGGATAAACTCGGGTGCCAGGGGATTCAACACATAGGTTTTCTTTAACTCCAAAGCCTCCAACTGAGCCTTGATCTGTTCAAACGTGATACCGTGGAGGCTCTCATTCTCGTGACACAAGGCAATAAACCTCTCCCAAAATTTCCTAAGGAAAACAGTTTATAAAGAATAAGATTTACCAACTCAGGTTATAGTTAACAGAGGTTTTACACAGCTAAGTACAGTTCGTATTTTTCCTACATGCCCATCTTACACATCATGCCTCCAATTCTGCAACAAAATCCAGGGGCGGGGCCCATGCATAGCCCCAACCACAAAGTAGGCATAAGGGTCTGTTCAGGCAGATCAAACTCCAGCCCTAACCTATGTCATATAATTTCTGATTCCTATACCTATATCAACATAAAAGCAGAGACTGCACTAACCTGGAAATTTTCTAAAAGACCAAACATACAGTAAAAGCACAGAACACCATTAAAGCTCTACACTTTACACACATTAAATACTATTAAAGCTCAAAAAGCCAAATGCTTTGCAAAGAAGATTAGTATCATTATCCCCATGCAAAGCAGTGACAGAGCCAGAAATTGATCTCAGGTCTTCTGAGTCCCAGTCCAATGTCCCATCAACTGCTTCCCTTGGAAGAAGGAAGTTGTCACTGACAGGATCAGAATTAGTTTATCCACTAATATCCTGCTTAGTTGAGGCAGCAAAGTGCAGCTGTATTCACAGCCCCAAGCCCTCCCATTCCAAAGAGTCCAACCCCAGCGGGGGGGGGAGAGGGGAGGGTTGGAGAAGAGGCAGCATGCCCTACTCCATTAACTGAGGAGGGGGAATAATATGACCCTGAGTTTTTCTTGTTTTTCTTGAAGTAATAATACTAAATACAAATCACACAGTATTTGTCTGGTAGCAATAGTGGGACAAAATATTGAAGGATGGTCTTGCTGTTAAAGCACAGGATGGTGAGTTAGAAGATCTAACTTTTAGAAGTCTACTTTTTTTTTAAACATATGTGGCAATATCTATTGGTAAAACATTTGATTTTAGGAATTCTATCAACAAATACTTTTTCTGAAAAGCAAGCAGAACATGGGACAGTCATTTTCCTCTGAAAATATTTAAATCTATCATTGTTTAAAAAAACACAACACAACACAACAACAACCAGGATCTTATCTCCTTTAATCAAGGAAAAATTATTAAATTCTCTCCTTCAAGCAATGAAGGGTGATGAAAAATATAAGATCTAGGGGGAAAACTACCTTATTCTTTGAAAAGATGAAAACCCTACGACGCACATTTAATAATAATCCATCTCTTTAATTTTCATTTTTTTGGTGAGAGATTAAAGACAACAGGCTGACAATATTTTACACTAGTACATGTCTGCTGACAATCTCAGATTGATTTCTGTACTGGAAGGTGTTGAAAAAAATTGAAGGCCTGTATAATATATTACCATTATTCATATTCAGATTGGGGTGCCTGCTTCTTCCGTTTTTTTCCTGAACATAAGGTAATAAGAACTATAGTCATATGTAGATTTGTAAGTGTTTTACAGAAGATGGGAAATATGAGGCCATGCGAATGAGCAAAGAATTATTTTTAAAAATAAAAGACTGCCCTCCTGGGCAAAAATCTGGCTGGCTCTTCCGTAGGAGAAAGAGGCCAAAACACAAGTGTAGAGTTTTGTTTAGAGTGCACAAGTGTTGTGGTCCCCCAAAACCTGTAAAACTGATATTCTGCAGGTCTACTGCACATTGACCTGCAAAAAGGGTTCAGTGATCAAAGTTCCTTGATCCACCTATGGCCACCGGGCATACAGAGAGGAGTTTAGTGGGTGATCACGTTCAAGGAGCAGAATCTGCCAATTCTGGTCAATAAATGATGAGGTTTCTGTGACATTGCAGTCTATATAATTTTATAAAAATATGCTAATGAGTGAATATAATGTAACTGGAATATGCTTCATGCAAAAGGTCTCTTGTAAGGTATCATTACAAAACTTATAATCTACTGAGTGTGATCATCCTATTTATATAAATGTACCCCTCTTGTATCTGAAACTAGAAATATGAAATATAACTCTGAGGGCCTATTGTAATTATGCAAAGTGTGGGCCCTTAATAGTGGTTTGGATCTTGATGACTCCCATTAACCAGGACAATTGTCTGCAGATGGGTGTGTTTTACCTGTAAGTCTTCCTGTATACGTGTGTGCTGGCAAGTGGGCAATGAAGTCTTGCAGTGACATGTGATCATGTCACCTGAACTGGAATCCATCTTTAACCTGGTGTCTTTCCATTGAGAAGGAGGGGGTGGAAACCCAGAGAGGGACAAAGGATTCCCGTCTTATGCAAAACACATATAAAGGGGTGGAACAGAACAAAGGGGAAGGAGGAGAGCCATCATGAAAAATCCCCTAGCTACCACCTGAGCTGAAACAAGAGCTGTACCAGGGGAAAGAATTGTGCCCAGGCCTGGAAGGTGTCCAGTCTGAGGAAAAAACTTACTGAAGCATCTCTAAAGGTGAGATTATCTGTATTCAGTTTGATTAGACATAGATTTCCGCGTTTTATTTTATTTTGCTTGGTGACTTACTTTGTTCTGTCTGTTACTACTTGGAACCACTTAAATCCTACTGTCTGTATTTAATAAAATCACTTTTTACTTATTAATTAACTCAGAATATGTATTAATACCTGGGGGAGCAAGCAACTGTGCATATCTCTCTATCAGTGTTATAGAGGGCGAACAATTTATGAGTTTACCCTGTAAAAGCTTTATACAGGGTAAAACGGGTTTATTTGGGTTTAGACCCCATTGGGAGTTGGGCATCTGAGCGTTAAAAACAGGAACATTTCTGTTAGCTGCGTTCAGGTAAACCTGCAGCTTTGGGGCAAGTAATTCAGACCCTTTGTTGGAGCAGACCAGTGTGTCTGTCTCAGCAAGACAGGGTGCTGGAGTCCTGAGTTGGCAGGGAAAGCAGGGATAGAAATAATCTTGGCACATCAGGTGGCAGCTCCCAAGAGGGTTTCTGTGATCCAACCCATCACAGTTTCTATAGGGGAATACTGCCTTTTTTGTTCTATATTTGTACAGCACCAAGCATAATGGGGTCCTGGTCCATGACAAGGACTCCCACATGCTATGGTAATTTAAATAAATAATTATAATAAAAAAATTAGTTCTAAAAGCGATAAATGCTATAGGACAACGTGGAAGTGATGAACCATTGCTCTGCAAGCACTGTGGAAGGCAGAGTATCTGGCACAGGAATGGAAGCAGCATAGATAAATCCCATTATCTCTGGAATTTTCAAGAAGAGAAGAGCAGTCCAAGGGTGAAAATCTACCCATATTGAAGTTCATGGCAAAACTCGGGTTGACTTCAATGAGGTCAGGATTTCACCCCACATAGGTGAAGATGCAGGGGGGAAAATAGCAATGCTCCATTTAGCTCCAGTGGAATCAACATTCCAGATGCTGGCTGAGTCTTTGCCACTGATATATTTCTCCGTGCCCATATATGACATTGTGGAAGCAGAGAAAGAATTGACAGGAAGGGGATTGCAATGCATGACAGTTTGTTAGCAAGAGTCAGGCTAACTGTAACCCTAATAACGCGAGATTTGTAGAAGCGAGGATTGTGTGAGGCGAGTGAGAAAGAACTGTGTGAGAAGTTGTTACGACCTTGTGCAGATAATGTGCAGACAATATGGAATGTAGACTAAGAGTCTACATAAGTGAGAAAAACAAGATATCAGAATGACCGATGTATTAAAAAAAATGCAGCTGTTGCTTTTCATTATCTGTAAAAAAAGGTATAAATACTTGCTGTAATTGTTTACCTGTTGAGAGACCTGCCTAGAAGGGGAAGACCCTGTGTCCTAGTGCACTATCTCCCTCTATGCAATTGATAGAGAGAGAATAAAGTATCTGACTTTGCTGTACCCAAACAAACAGTGAGAACTGTGTTATTCTCCGACAACCTGAAGCTATTTTATCAGAGCTAGGAGTCAAGGCTTTACAATACTCAGGCATCCTAGATATTTCAGAATATTTCTTGAGCAATTTTATTAGAAAATGAGTAATCAAGCTCGTTGATTAATGGGGTGACACCGTGTATTTGCAGATGGATAGTTTTTCCCCACACAGTGTCAAACACCTTTTGCTTTAAATTTTATAATTACCCTAGTATTGATGACAGAATGAACGAAAAGATTAATGCTGCTTTTAAAAATAACTCTGCTCACTGTCTAGAGCAGGGGTAGGCAACCTATGGCACGTGCGCCAAAGGCAGCACTCGAGCTGATTTTCGGCGGCACTCACACTGCCTGGATCCTGGCCACCAGTCGGGGGGGGCTCTGCATTTTATTTTAATTTTAAATGAAGCTTCTTAAACATTTTAAAAACCTTATTTACTTTACATACAACAATAGTTTAGTTATAGATTATAGACTTATAGAAAGGGACCTTCTATAAAAATAAATTAGGCAAGTCATACACAATGAACATTATTTCTCATGTCGTACTTCAACAAATTTAGGGACTGTTTTGAAGTATCGAACCAGAAGTGCTGGCAACTGTAACAACATAGGAAACATACTCCATTTGCTACCCCTTGTCTCCTTCTGCACTTGGTCTTTTAAGGAAACAGGACAGGCAATCAGTCTAGTTCCAGGTGGCAAGTTCACCCAGCCTATGAGAACGGAGATCCTAAGGAGAGACGCCACTGGTTGACCAGTGTCGTTCGTAGGCGAATCTGAGGGAGGGCAAATGTCTCTCTTGAAAGACTGCAGAAATAGTTACTAAGGGTGGGTCTACGCTACAAATTTACAATGGCGCAGCTGCACCACTGTAGCATGTCTGGTGAAGACGCTCTAAGCCAATGGGAGAGAGCTCTCCCATCAGCTTAATAATTCTACCTCCACAAAGAGGCGCTAGCACTGCCTACACAGGGGTTTAATGTCAGTATAACCTACATTGCTCAGGGGTGTGGATTTTTCACACCCTGAGTGACATAGTTATATCGAAGTAAGTATGTACTGTAGACCGAGCCGCACACACATAAGAATTTAAAATAGCCATTCTAATGCCAATCTTTCGCAGTGATTTCATGTAAATGAGAAGTACTCTTAAATTTCACTATATAGATGGCCCATTTTCTGCATGAGCATCAAGTCATTTGACTGTAAGGCAAACACATTTTGCAAGTTTTTAAGTGAGAATTAAACAACAATATGGAAATATTTCACTGGGACGCTATAATGACAGAGCGCTCTGTGATTAATCAATGCAGTCATCAAACCTACCGCAAAGCACTAGGACTCCACTGAGGCCCATGCACTTTTCTTTAAAATGCCCCAAGCAGTCTCTCTACACATGGAACACTTGTACTGGGGTGTAAGAACAGAAAATAAAACACTGCCATCTCTGCTTTGCAGTTGCTCCTGAGTTTAAAGGGAGTGTCTGCCAAACAGCCCTGTCTAGTCTGCCTGTAACATACAGAAATGCAATGATTACCCGGGGCATACTTCACATAGCTCTCTACAACTATAGCTACAAATTCCTGACTCACTTTGACAGGCATTAGAATATTTATAAAATTCAAGAACTCTCTAAACTTTTTTGAGGTCTGTTTTTCTGCACAAAATGTCACTTCAAGACTTCTGAACTTCTCTTGTGCTAAAAAAGAACTCTCTCTCTCTCTCTCTCTCTCTCAATAGCAGAGTGCCCAAGCCCTACAGCAGGAGTTTCAAAAAGTAAATATTCAGTTATTCAGTGAAACAAGACAATGGCATATTAAAAGCAATGCTCATGATACATCTTCTTGATAAAGCTCCCACACATTGCTTACTTCTTACTTAAAGAACTTTTTGTTGTGTAAGTTTTGCACAGAACATACGTAACAGCTGTTGGTCTTGGAAAGGCAGACTGGACCATTAGCTGTCAAAACTGCAATTTAATGGAGACCCAGGCCTAAATTGTCTTAAGTTTCAGACCCTTTAAAGGGTCCGATTTCTAAAATTGTGTTAAGACAGAGTGTACCTCTGGTAAGGTATCTCAAGTTGGGTACCTAAAAATAATCAGAGACCGAAAAACACTAATTACTTACGAAAATTTGAGCCATAATACTTTGCTATCAGGGCTCAAAGGGGTCAGAATTTGGGGCTCAAGGTCATTCTCAGTAACCTGAACCAACAGAAGCTGGAGAAAGTATGGATGGAACTGTGTGCATCACTTAGAAAGGATGACTCTTGAGTCAACCAGCAGGCCACATAATGGTCTGTGGTACTAATGGATCTGAGAGCCTTGCCCCCTTACTGGGCGAATCCAGTGTGTCCCAACAGCCCATGGTGGGGCAGAGGAGTATCTGAAACAGACCAATTTCCTTAAGTGTGATGACCAGCATCTTTTCCAATACACCAAGGGATAGAACCAGGGACCTCCAGAGTTGAAAGCATGAATTGTCTCTGCAGCTTGAGCTAGAAAATCAAGCCCTGTAGTTGGGAGGTATAACAAACTCACATAATCTGTGGCTCAAGTACGGAGGGGTATGCGTAACAAATGCTGACCAGTGAGTTACATAAGCAGGCATGTTCAAAAATGCAAGCAAGCAACATGGTAAAAATGGTAAAAATAAAACACACAAAAATCCTTTTGATTTTAACAACCTGTTAGCAGCAATAAAGAAAAGGTTATTTTGATGCTGTCCCTTTAAATAAGTATTTAAATTCAAATTATATTTTAATAAATGTAGTAGATAAAGGTTTGGTTTCCATTTTCTAAATAAAAGGTGTCTGGGCTTCTCTGATCATCTCCATGAACATCAGAAGCATTGTAATAGAGAGACACTGCTCAAGAAAGTGAAGTCAATGTAAAGGGACAAATGACTTACTTACACACATACACACACACACACACACTTTTGCTGCATTTTTATTGCACAGTCAGTGCAGCATTTCTTCTGTTTCAGAAACAAGCTTAAAGCTCTATCTCTGATCTTAACATTTCACCCCTTCCATAGAAAGAGAACCCTTTGAAGATGAAGTCCTTGATATCCTTAACATGATTGTTTAAATCTCCTATCATTTTTCACCTTTCCTCATTCATGTCTTCAGGAAGTTCATTTATTTGGCTCCCATTTGGCTTATTCTAGGTTTACAGAGAATAGCTAAACAACAGCTTTGTGCTTTCCACTTTCATATGACTGCCATGATGTTTCACAAAAACAAAAGTTAAGTAATAAATCATGCTATTTTTCAATGCCCAAATTTACTTGCAGTATTTATATTGACATGCAATGTTATAATAAGCACCTTAAAAACAGCTGAAAATGAAATGTAGGGTCTGGAGCTATTAGTATCAAGTACAAATTACAGAATTAGCAAATATAACAAGAATGCTTTGTCAATTACCCTTTATTACATATAGAAACGCAGGTTCTTTAGTAAGTAAACAGCTACACTGTGATTTTGGATGACACATTAAGAACTAAAGATGGGTTGACCCTGAGTGAACACTAAAGATCCTGTGGCATTTTTCGTACGAGTAGGGCCCTTGCATAAAGTTTTCCCTCCCCTACTATCTCACTCTTCATCAGCTGGTTACCCTCACTACACCTTTGCATTGTCTTTTCTTCAATTTGAAAGTCCATATCAGACTCCGCCAATGCCGCATTTCAGTTTCCCCTACTTAAGAACATTTCAAAGGAGCAGAGTCCTAAAAGAAGATACTGTTTTCAACCATACTGAAGTCATTTCTTTGTTGGGCAGAGAAGTACCTTAACTTGGCATTCTGCCTTTTGGTGATTATATCTCTGCTACCTTCATGTTCAATTTGGAGATTTTGTACTTACAAGAAAAGGAAAAGAAAAAGAAAAAAGAAAAAGAAAAATTGCCATGTGCTTAATAATGCTAGTATCTCATTTAGACTCTGAAGTTCACCAAGATAGATGAAAGGTGACTTCTCACCTTTACTGGTGTTATTGATTGTTTGGAAACACAAAACGTGCCACCGTAAATCCAACTATTGAAAAAACAAAACACAACACATCCTTTTACATCACCTGATTTACACTACTAGAAACTACACTATTACAAATCATTTCCACTTAAAAAATAAACAATTCCCTCCATTAGCAATCTTCCAAGATAACACAATTAAACAACACTATCAGTTCAGAATCTACACTATATACAATAAACTGTTTCAAGATAACACCAACTCAATCTTGCCAACAATCAGAAAACATCAATTTCTAAGCACTCTGCATGGCTGGAGTTAAGAACTGCATGTTTAGTATAGTGGGTGATGGAAATGGATGGCATAATATGTACAAGGTGAAACCATGGTTGTAGACTGCAAGGGATGAATGAGAACTTAATTAGTGTCTTTCTGGCTTTTTACCGATGGTGTGGCATCATCTGAGCAATTTTAACTGATTTGTTTAGGGGATTTAGTGGATTTGTTTTGTTTAGTGGAATATATATAAAATGGTGTAAAAAATTATATATGCTTCTCCAATTAAATTTGTTTAAATGCAACTCATTTGCCTTTGGAGCCTAAAAAGCAGACCGATTTTACTTAGTCCATAGATTGTACCCAAATGTATAATATTCACTAGCACTTCTGCTACCACTGTTTAGCCAAAGAACACATATACTGTACCTGCATCTTCCAATGGAACATAAAGCAATTGGGTCTCCCACCACAGCTACCAGGGACTGTGCTCTTGTAATAGCAGTGTTGAGAAGTTTGTAATTGGACAGAAAACCATAATCCAAGTCCTCTGTTGAATCCTCCAATAATTGCTCCTTCCTTTTGATCGGTGTTTGCTTGTGTTTGCACGTATGCCGTGTTCGTACTGTGCTGAGAAACAAAACTCTAAACTGCTTTCCTAAAGAAAGGAGAGATGAAAGTTTGAGATAATTTTAACTATTTTCAGATATAATGCAACCAAATGACATTTGCTAGACATATTTCACAACCTGACATTTTACATGTAAGTAATTCTAGAAAGTCATTAGTTACTCTTCATGTAAAGAGTTTTGTGCAAGAATAATAAGAGTTTAACATTTTAAAATGCATTATAAAGAACTTTTCATTGCAAGAGCAATTTGTCCTTTTAAAATCAGTGTTTTCCATGCCAGTTTTAAGCACTCCAGAAATTTTTAACATTCTGAACACCTCTGCAAAGTTTCTGTTCAGCCAGTAATAGGCGTGGTACCAATTTACACTAAAGGCTACATCTTATAAAAATCAGGCTGTTCCGCAGGAAAAAATGCACATCATTTCAGCCATTTCTGTTTCACAGCTCAGCAAATAAAAATGCCACAAAAGTCACACGAATACAAAAGTCACACGAATACAAATTTCTACCTATGTGAAATTAATAAGATTTATGCTGTTCTTTCCTGCTCAGCTATCTGAGTTTGCCAATTGCTACCCTGCAGACGCTTGTCTGCTCTTTGTCTATTTAAAACACGATCCTGCAAAGGAACGTGCCCCCGCAGAATCCTGCTGTTGTCAGCGGGACACCATGTGGGAATAAGAGTCCAAAAGTATGTATTCCTTCGCAGGACCAGGGCCTTGGATTGCAAACACTCTGGGGCAGTATGTTTCTTTATGGATCTTGTCTGTCTCCATAATTGTTTGCAAAGTGCCTAGCACATTGCTGGAGCTACATAAAGAAATAAAAAGTAAGGTCTTTTTTCTCCTTCAGTTACACAAAAAGTCAAATTAATTTTGAAAAATATTTCACAAACCACGTATTTATTGCTTTGGGTAGTCTATGATGGAATAATATCCCATGAGCACGTGCACTAGTCAGATCCTGTCACACCAACATTACTGACTGTATATTATTATATCTACTCTTTTTACTCAGAGTCAAGATTATTTTCACTGCTTTTCCTATATGTTATTCCTTTGTTTAAATTGCTATTACTATCGTACTCTAATTATAAAGTACAATCAAAGACATTTTGAGTGTGAAATCTGGGGATCACAATTAAAAAGCTTACTGTAAAAAGCCTCCTATATCACTTGTTATAAAATTACATAGATTGGAAAATTACATACAGAATTAGGACCGCATTTCACAATCTTATCTTTGTTAGCAGATCCTTAAGACACATAACCGCTACTTACCCTGAACATTTAGCACTCTTTCTACACTGACGTCAGATAATCTCTTTTTTCGAAGTTCTGCCCGAATTCGGAACACTTGATCAGCATATGGTGTTACAACCCCTATACTGCCATCATCCAATTTTCCCCAAGCTACCGGCCATTTTCTTCTCAATTCTTCAACACGTTCTACTATTTCAAATACCTTTAAAAGAGAATAATAAAACCTCAGTCAAAAATATTGTTAAGAGTTTATTTGCTTTTTAGTCCAGTATCATTCCTTTATATAAAAACAGAAGTGGAATTTTAAAGCTGTACAGATTTTACAGGCAAAATATTATATAAAACCTTCTTAATAAACACAAAAACCTGCTATTGTATTTCATAATAATGTTTCAAAACACTGTAGCTTACACAGTATCAATAATATTTGGGGTCATTACTCTGGAACACCGTAAAAAATTCCTATTAAGACAAATGCTTCCTATGAAAAAATAATCTTTAAGGCCCTGATCCAGCAAACCACTTAATCATATGCTTAACTATAACTACTAAAATACTTAAAGTTAGGCTCATGCCAAACTTTGGAGCATCAGGACCTTCTATATCTAGATACGTCAGCAAAATACATGTATTTTTATGGGATTTTTTTATTTTTACTTTCTGTTTGTACATTTCATGTAACATTTTGGAATCTAAAGAAAGGACATACACGCAAGCAAGTATACTGAAAGCTCCTCTGTCACATAAGACTGCACCTGCCTCGGCTATCAATCAATTCAACTGAGGAAAGCATACTGTATGTCACTGAGGAAGACTGATAGTAATGGAGAATCCAGTAAAGAACTTCAGTGGGTATATGAATAAACTGTAAATAAACCCTTTTCTCCTTCCATAGCAGGTGTGCATTTTTGAGAGTAGAAATACACTAGGAAACCTAGTCTATATTTGTTTTTCAGCCCCATGTGGCCTGCCGGCTCTCTGCAGGCTACTAGACAAAAGCTCCATGGACCTCTGATTGGGAATCACCGGGTTAGATATAAAGGTTGGCCAGTGCTCTTCACTTTGGGAAGTTTCAATTAAATCTTTGTAACCTTGCCTTAACCAACAAAGCTACTTTATCATGAGGAGGAAGCAAGAGAATTGGAGATGTCTATTAATTATTACTAATCTGAAGCAACAAAACTGAATCTGAGATTTATCTGGCTCCCAATAAAATAAGTGGCAAAATTCTTACTGATTTCAAACTGAGCAGAATCAGACCCTTAATAAAAGAGGAGTGTTTTCAGAGTTAAAATGGGAAATTTCAGGGGTCTAGGAATTCCTCAAAATAAATTTTAAATGTCTGATGATAACGATTACTTATTATTTGCATTATGGCAGCTTGCTAGAGGCCCCCGAGACTGGAATTCCATTATGCTAGAGCTGTAGACACACATACTGAGGCAGTCCTTGCCCACAGAACTCAGTCTACGCAGCAAGACAGAAGGGTGGGAGGGCAAACAGAGGCACAGAGATTGGAAGTGACTTGACCATGGTCAAGTAAGATGATAAGTGGCAGAACCAGGAATAGAATCCAGACCTCCTGACTCCCAGCCCAGAGCACTATCTACTAGACCATGCTGCCTCCTCAACAGTTGGGAGCCAATTCTCTCCCCAAACACAATTTTAGTTCTAGATGTTTATAGATTCTCTGATAACTCAAGCCAGGGAGATGCATACACTGAAAGCAGTAAACTTGTAAAGCAGCTACACAAATGTTTGCTGTGAAATGCTGTTTGAAGTTAACATTGCAAAACCCTTTCTCCAACCCCTATTTTTCTTAAAAACATTCCAAGTTATTCTAAAGCAATTTTAAAATTTCTTTCTATTTTCAACTTCTATTTTAATTTACTTATATCAGCATTTATAAAACATGTGCTCTGGGCACATTCACATCTTTAAAAATATATCATCAAAAATTCATAACATGCTGTCAAACATTGGCAGCAAATGGACAATTCCCAAATTAATTACGAGCCATCACCAGCAAGAGGAGGAAACAAAGAATTCCATCCCTACTCCTCTTTTAGATTTAGTGCATCTTTCATGAACACCCTTACTTAGACAAAGGCCTGGGTAAAAAGGTGGGCTTTGAGAACCGACAATAAGAGCTAGTCAATCACTAGAAACTGGCCATCTACCATTCCACGTGAATTAATGATAGATTCGGTACCTATCAGGATCATGCCTAAAAACTGCTTTTAAAAAACGATCTTGATGACACAAAACAGACCTGTTCTCAGTTCCACTCCTCATCATCAAAATGATCTCCTGCTAGGGGAGACAGCAAAGACAACAGCCCCTACTGAGAGACACTGGGTGAAGATATTGACACAGTGATAAGTATTTCTAAAACACATTGTAAAACCTTTTTTAATATCTATATTCTCATTCAATAAACATTTACTTAGCTACCCAAGGGATGAGAACTGATCAATGGAATTTTCCTATAGAGCTTCAAGCTCATTCTCTTAATGGCAACATAACAGAATCTACACTGTAAGAATTCCAAGTATTCTAGATTCTCTTCACTGCCCACCCAGTAATCTTTAGAGGGGTTGTTAAAAATAATTCAGCCTGTTTCCAGTATTTACATTAATTAGCCTTCAAATCTGTAGGCCAGGATTTTAACTGCCTGCGGAGAAATATTTTCTGAACGTTTAAACTGATATAAGTTGCAATGGGCACATACCATAAAATAAAAAAATGCAGTCACTCTTACATGAGATTACAAAACAGAAATGACAAGAAAAGGACTTGCAGAATCAGGACCATCCTAGTGAGAAATGTACCACACAAACTAAAAACTATGGGCCAGATCCTAGAGTGGTGTAAGTTAGCAAAGCTCCATTAATATATTCCACACTAATTTACACCAGCTGAGGATGTGGCCCTGTGATATTTTTCAATAAAAACAAGTATTTTATGTAACTGTCCTGGTAATTAATAGCTGCAACAGATTACCTAGAAAGGGGTAAATTCCCCATAGGCTGGAGTATTTAAATCCAGAATGGATGTCTTTCTAAACGAGATGCTTTAGTTTAACCACAAGATGCTGGGTTAAATACTGAAATCACTGGTACGGTTTTATGGCCTGTGTTATGCCTTAAGCCTGCCTAGATAAGGAAAATGCTCCCATCTGACCCAAACATCTCTGACCCAAACCATACTAATGAATTGATACACTGAGAAATGTTCATTTTATTGCTTTTGCACTTCCTTTTTTCACTTCATACATTTCAAACTTTTCTTGTAATACTGAACATTTCTCCACAAAATGTGAAATTTTCACAGTAACCTTCTAGCATGTTTCCTGTGCCACAGGCTGATGAGCACAAATTAGCATCCATGCTAGTAGTCTGAGTAGTGAGCACAGAGTGTGAATCTCACAGATTACATGAGTGCACAAATAGGTTTGTAGGATTTGTGCACAGATACAGTCAAAATATCGTAAAGGAAACTTGTAACAGTTTCACAGAAAATTGGTTGTACATATTTGATAAATGCTTTATCCAAAAGGTAGATCTTCAGGACTAGGTTTCTATCACCTCTAGTGAATGTCGCATTGTCATTTTGTGTATGAAAATCAGATGGTCATTAAGTTAATGCCTGAAACTGGGAGCTGCGCTGGGAGAGGGCAGGTTTAAGGGATGGGTGCCAGGCACGTCACCATCTTTAACATCATTGAGTAAAACCATGAACATATTTCAGATTGGCTCTGGCTGAACAAAAACAGCGATTCAGAATCTCAGACTTGCTTGAACGGGATTTGAAGGATGGCTGGACTGCTATTTAGTTTGTCACATCCCTCGTGCCTATGCCCATCCCATCCCATCCATCAGCAACTGCTGCTTCACAACTCCAATGCTCCTTGGAGTCGTGGGCTCCAGTCCTGACGCTTCACAGGCACAGGCAGACTTGCTGTATCCATCAGGAGCTTCACTGATGCTAGTGAGACTCTGCCCACACACCGCAGTTTGCCCACATACACGAAGTTACAGGATCAGGACAACAGAGAGTCCCAGCCACGGACAGCTCCAGGCTCACTCAGCTGAACCAATCAGGCCAATCTGATTATATTTAGCACTACATTGTTGGCCAAGCAAAGTGAGGTTTTATATCCAATTTCTCTGTTTGTCTGTCTGTTTAGAATGTAACAGGACAACTTTTGAACACCACATCTGATCAATTCCAAAATGTCAGGGATCTTTCTAGACATCAAAGGGCAGAAGCATTTGATGAAAATTAGAAAACAGAAGGGAGAAATGGAGGACACACAGAGTCCCTGGCATTTGGTCAGTAGCTTCTACCACCTCCATAAACTGTCTATAGATCAAAGAACAGATTGATGGCAGCCACCACCTTCTACCATAACAATAAATACCCACCATCTCAGCTCTGGCCATCACTCCAATACAGAAATAAGAATGATGGGGACAGGGGAAACTAGGAGGGCACACAGAGCCCCTGGCATGGGGAGAAGAATGGGAGACCTTGGCCTGGGAAGAAACAGAGCCACTGGCAGGTGGCAGAGAGGGGAAAAGGGGGGACATACAGAACTCCTGGCATGGGGCGGAGGTAGGGAAGTTACAGAGTCCCTGAAATAAAAGAAGATGGGAGGGTGGCACACAAGGAGCTTGTGGGGTGGAATGGAGGAATGCAAGGAGCTCCTCGTGTGGGCAATGTGACCCTCCAGTAAATATATTCAACGTTTGCACACTTTTTGTCAACAGGTATCAAAGCTATTTGTACTGTTACATCTGAGCTTCTGGTTTGCTCGACAAATGGACAGACAAAAACATAAAGCAGATCCACCCAACCTAGTCAGCAAAGATAAAAGTTGCAACCATTGCCAGGAATAGTTTATTTTAAATATTCCACATTTTAGGAGTGAAGTAAATATATGTTGGTGGTATTTGTGCAGGGCTTGGATACAGACAGTGAAAATACTTTAACTGCAATTCTTCCAAGCTTCATAGTTCCTAAATTCTCTAATAATTTAAAAAGTCTATTCTGTTGCCAAAACACACTCGAATAGATATACTAGATCTGTAAAAACTATTCTAATCCCTTTGCAGCTTTATTCAGCTACCAAGTAAAATTCTTCTGAAAACTCACTGCTTCTGGCTATATGCTTAGAATTATGACCAATAATAAAAACTGGAAGTATATTTTTCAATTCTGAAACCCTTATGCTTTTCGTAAAAATGATATAAGCTCATACACTCCTATAATGCCTGCAGGCACCATTGTAACACTGAATGTGCTAATACAAATGTGGGAATTTTTTTTAATCAGCAAAAGCTAACAGTAATAATGCTCCCTCATTGTTTGAACCCTTCTTGTCAGTATTAAGCAGCTTTTGTCCTTTATTCTTGCCTGCAGACTACTAATGACTCAATTTTCATTCAATGACTGAACTGGAAGGCATTGAAGATATTTTAAGATCTTTCACAACCTTTTTCATTTATGAAGAAGAGATACAGGTACAATAATGAGAGAAGTCAGTAGCCTTCGGTTTCTTTGTTCAGTGATGTGTCCTGAAGTCACTGGTGTTTAGTGTTCAGCTGCATTATCAGGAGCTTTCAGCAGATCTCTTACTAACAAACAACGTCAAAAAAAATGTAGCACAACTATGTTAAAAATTGCCCATCAGATTAAATGCACCGTGGTTAACAGATAGTAGATGTGTAATGCAACTATTATAGTGCTTGCTTTGTAATGAACGGTGTTGCTAAACTACAAATTAGCTTCAGTTATAATCCTCGGTCTTCACTTTCTCATAAAATTTAAGACAATATTTCCTTTGGGGCTGAAATTTTCTATGTTTAGTTTCAGAAAATGGGTCATTTTGTTGTTGTTAAAAGTTTAAGGAAAATATGTTCAACCATTTTTAGTAGAAAGGAGCCTAAACAACAAAATTTGAATAGGGATTCAAAGTTTGTGGGTGTCAGGATTTGGGGTTTAGGTCAACCCCCAGGTAACACTACATGTGGGAGAGGGAAATCCCACTGTTTCTACTAGCAGTAATATTTTAAAATGGTCACTGAAAGAGGGATGAGTTTTGAACCTGTGTGTACGAATAACAGTTGTTCTGGAGAACAGCAACTGTCATATGTGAAAAAAACTATAGATTGAAAAATCACTTCTGAGCATGCTCATTAGGGGCCTGATTCCCAAAGCCTGTTTAGGTCCATGGGAATCTTTCCAAAGACTTCAATGGGCTTTCATCAGACCTTTGATCTCTAGCTAAGAGGAAGAATGGCCCAGTAGTAGGGCCATAACCTAGAACTTAGGAGACTCAGGTTCAAGTCCCTGCTCTGTCATAGACTTCCTGCATGACCTTGGACAAGTCACTTAGCCTCTCTGTGCTCAGTTCCTGAGAGGCCGAAATGGGAATAATAATATTTCCCTACTTCAGAGGGTGTTGCGGAGTGCTTTGAAAATGCTTTATAAAGTTAGGTATTATTATTATCTCCTGAAACAATTTGCATAAACCAGACTGAACATTTCATTCAAACTGAAAACATGATCCTTTAAAAGGAATAAAACATTGTTAACATTAGGAACAGGAGGAAATCACAGGAGTGAAAAGAAGTGTGGCTCGCACAACCAGAGAGTGTGAACAATTCTGCAACTGTCTGAAAATTGCAAGCTTTATTTTAAATTGTAAAAAGAATTCCTATCTTTCAGTTGCTAAGATTCAGCCATCACAATATCATAGAAACTATCGGGCAAGTAATTCTGAGTAATGAAAAAGCCTGAGTAAACTGTAAGCAGCTTGCAGCCAATTTGCAAAGAGAAAAAGAAGCTAACTCCATTGCAATAGTCATTATAAATTATGGCCATGATTCTGCAAGCTTTTCATGTGGGTGGAGCCCAGCGGAGTGCCACTGACTGAAGCGGGGGTCTGTGCAGTTGTAGAGGTGGTGCAGCTCGAAGGGTTGTAGTCTATTTGCTTAGCTCTACATTCCATATTCAAGTTGTGCAAGATACTACCGGTCCTATGAAGGCTGAGATAATCTATGCCATCTATCTATATCAAGCACTAAAGCCAACAGAGAGACAAGGTGGGTGAGGTAATATCTTTTATTGGACTAACTTCTGTTTGGTGAGAGAGAGAAACAAGCTTTCGAACTCCCTCACCAAACAGAAGTCAGTCCAATAAAACATATTACCTTACCCACCTTGTCTCTTGAATATCCTGGGACTAACATGGCTACAACAACACTACACACATAACCCAATAGGAAGTTGTTCAAAAAACCTCTACAAGTATGTAATTTGATAACAGATATTGTGACAGATAAAATGCGTAAGTGTATCAAGAATTCATATTCTTGAGAAAGCAATGAAAGGTAAATCCAACGAAGAGCTACCTCTGCATTGTTGTAGAAAGCTGTACTGTTTTTCTCCTGCACATCTTCTCCGCGTGCTGTGAAGAAAGTCAAAGGGTAGAAATCTTTGTGTGCTGGCTGCTTTCCACTTGCCATCAATTTGCCCTCATAGAAAAGGTCAGATGTGTAACTGCAATGAGGCAAAACACAGAATAAAATGTGGAATTTGCATTTGGTCCCGTAGCCCACTGACAAATATGCCATCAAAGAAAATAATGTTTTATACTGAAACAAAAGCCCTAATTCTTACTATAATTCTAACTGACTTCTCTTATGTGATGTTTCCACATTACAGGCAGTGCTGGTAGTGCCATCTAATGTCTGCCCAACACTTCCCATTATAAAACCCTATTTTCAGTTGCCAAACTCTAACCATTCAGACTGAAATTCTCTGTGACAGATGTGTGAGCTGCATCACAAATGGTTCAATTGTTTCAAAATATGTTGTTTTGCCCATGTTAAAATTCTTACAACTATTTAAGTTAGAAGCTCTAGCCCCTCACTCAATGCCTTAGAGCAAGGACTTGAAATTGGGTAGCAAGATCACTCTGGTGTAATACCAGCAGCACTTTTGCTGCTCCTATCAAAAACTGCCCAAATCTGGTCGAGTTCTGAGCCTCTGAAAAACCTCTATTTGCACATGCTCAGTAAAGAGTTGTTAGCAATTGGCAGCTAAAGCTCTGAAGATTTTGTCTGCACTGAGCATGCTCCAGCCCAGGGCTGCAGGGACTGAGCAAGGCTTTCCCTGCAATTGATGTTACAAGCCATTGGGGTGCTGGTCATTAGAAGTGAGAGGAATGCTCCCCCTGCTGATACCCAGGCAGTGTGGAAGAGAAGGAAGCTGTCTGACCTAAAGGGAGACGGGACAAGAACCAGACCTGGGGGTGGAGGGCAAGTAGATTGGAACAAGGGTTGTGGGGAGACTGGGACCGGCTGGGCAAAAAGATTGAGGTAAAGAGCCAGGGGAGGAAGACTGGAGAAAGGAACCACCCCCTACCTCTCCCGCCCCACAAAACAGTATGTGATCATGTAATCAAAGAGTGTGTCATAATGCACAAGGGGTAAAAAATTATGGTATGAGCAGCCCCCCACAGACCTCAACATTTTTACCATGGACACTTGTGTAGGGACACGTTGCCTACCCCTGAAGAAAACTGTCTGCACAATTGATAACATATTATATCAACTGCAATCTTAAGCTGACAAGTCCCTTAGAGAACATGAAAACTGTCATTCTTGCAACCCTGTATCCCTCAGTTTTCCCAAAGAACAGGCATAGCCTTTATTATTTATTAATCACTTGTATTATTACAGTGCTTAGGAGCCCTACTCATGGTCCAGGACCCCACTGTGCTAGGCACTGTACAAACACACAACAAAAAAACATGCAAGCTTCCCAACACTGTCCCACTCATAACCCTCAACCTGGACATGGAGCCACCCCCTCTAGAAGTCAGAGAATTGCTCAGTCTTCGTGATCCCCTAATCCTTGAAGGCTGCCAGTTATTGTAATTGTGGTTTTGGTTGGAGACGTAGACAACTGTCCACTGGAAACGCAAAAAACTCATTTCACATATGCCATCAAATCACCACCAGATCACAACTTTAGGTCACTATAAACCAGGGCTGCATTACACTAGACAACTCTGAGGTGAATGTATCTATATCCCATCTGTAATCTAAAGTGGGAAGAATCAGCCTCCCTCTGAGTCCCATCAGCTGCCCTCTCATTTATAATTTCTAGAAATTTATCGGAAACTAAACCACACTTGAATCTGTAACGCAGTGTACATCTAATGGAAAGAGGCCTTATTATATACTATTTAGGAAAGTGTGTTAAGCCATTTTTCTGCTTTTTGCTGTGAATAAAGTGAGTGATAACGTAATTAACTTGATTGGATAGCAACATAATATTCTTCACTAAATATTGAGCAAGGACTTAAACTTTAACATTTTTCTCCATGACTGCACTGATTCTTTTTAGCACAGTTCATGGATGAGTTCATTATACTAGCAGCTATTAATTTATCACAGCATAAAAATGACAAAACTAATTAAGTGAGTCTTTTAAAAAGTAATAAAAAATGACACTAGCAAAGTGATAAGACCATAATTTGACCAATTTTTTTCTTTTTGTACTTATAAGATCATGTCATTCTATGCGTTGGAGGCAGCTTATTTTTTTTAAGCAAAAAAAATATCAAATGTTCTTGAATTATGCTGATGCTGCCTAAATTTCTGAAACTAATAAAAGAACTGCAGAATATGGGCTGAGTTGAAAGCTGATTAATTTCAATTCTACTCTAATTTTTTTAAAAGAAGTACTAGGTTAGTGGTCCAAACCACTACAGGTTTGAAGAGTGTTGCTCAGTATCATGGGCTATTACTGCAGTATTTTTATAAGGGCTTCAAAATCAAGGTTCTGCAGCTGCAGAGGCTACTTCCTGTGTGGAGAGGTGGAAATGGAAATGGTATGTCGGATGCCATCAGGTGGTCAAGGGACATCTACATAGAACACATCACCGGACATCGGCAATACCAGGAGGGATGAGCTGGAATGCCGATGAGAAGCGCAGTCGGGAAAGTAACTCAAATACTTTCCTGATGGACTGTTTTTTTCTCTAAATGGACAAGCTATCCTAAATTTTCAATTACTGGGGGACAATATTCACTCATTGATATATTTTGCTTTCCGCCACCAACTCTCTGTATAACTTTTTTCATGAGTAAAGTACCCGAATGCATGGATGCTAGATATCTAAACTGTATTCTTAAATTCATTCATCTAAATTGGGTTATTGCTGATTATGCACTATATGTATCTTATGACTTTAAAAACAAACTTTGTATTTGTGGATAATCTAAGCACTATACCCAGATGTACAGACACTCTTTTCTCAACCTATGTATTATATACTTTTTATTATCATTAGCTTTAATAAAAAATTTATTTCAGCAATGTTTGGTCACCCCAACCTGCCTGCTTCTTCAGGACAGAATCACAAATTAGCCACGGCCTTTCACAAAGACATTGGGGAACATACTGAGTCTATTCAGTGAGGGTTAACTAATGCCAGCCAGAGCAGGAAAGACTCACAATCAAGGCACCTCTCCCTGAATAACAGCTCCATAATAGGAGTGTCAAAATATACCCTAATTTTTGCTCCTTGCAGCTAGTTTCAGAACTTCGTCTTTTTTTTTTAAACAAAAAAACTTCTTGTCTCATTATTTAACAGTGGAAAAATTTCTCACCAATTAACTTTTAAAATGCAGAACTACTATGATTTTATTATGTAAATGCAAGTTGTAGCTGCTTCTCTCTCTCTTTTAAACTGCTTGTGGCACTGAAATGACAGAGTTGTTCTGCCTTTCGAGGTTCACTCAAAAGTGTGATACAGTGAAAAAGTTCACACCTACTTGATGATAGCTTCATGGGAGCGATAGTTCTCACACAGCAAGATCCTGCATGGAAACTCTGCAGGGTAGTGCTCATAGAGCCGATCAAGTAATGAAACATGAAGATTTCTCTCCCTGGCAAATTCGCTGTAGACAAAAGGACTGAGCTGTAATAGACACACACATACAGAGAAAATTTAACTAAATATGCAGACTTGGATTTTCAAACTCCTAAAAGAAAAACTCTACATCAACTGAAGGATGGCCTGTAAACAACTAAATCTTACAAAGCTGCTTCAGTAGTATTAAGAAAACATATGTCCCTGACTTGGATTTGGGGCTAGTTACAATAACTACATAGAAACACACTTTTCTGCTGCAAACGTGACAAGTATGTATGATCTTAGCTGAACAGCAGAATATTTTGTTACTATGTAAAGATGAAAGGAAGAAAAAAAAGCTTGTTTACATGCGTGTGCCAACCCTAACCCAAAGCACCTTTGTCTATGTTTCGCTTATATAGTTTGCAGACATCACTGACAACCTCAAACAATGGAAGGAGGTACACACCTTGCAGGGGACTATCTTGCAATTCTCTAGTACCTTTAATCTGAGGATCTCTTCAAGGCTTATAAAATTAAGTTATTATACTCAGTGGGAGAACTAGGAATAGAACTCAGATGCCCTGGTTAGCAGTATGCTTCCCTGATGCCTACACCACATTCACATGTCTTTAGTGGTGAGTCACATCATTTGCTGTAGCAGGAAAATGCATAACCCAGGATTTCAATTTAGAAAGGTAAGGAAATATGGAACTGATTTTAAAACATAGTTTACACATGCTGGGAAATGTTAAGCCTAAATATATAGTCTGCTATGTTAATGATTTGAGATGCTGTATTTATTATATCAATGTCAGCTCACTTTTAACTTTAGAAATGAAAATGTTGCACACTGAGGTGAGATCACTGTTTTTTAAAAAACATGAAAACAGCCAAGCTATTTTACTTGGAAAACAGAGGAGGAGTAGGATAGAATAGAGGCAGCAATGTGGCCTAATGGTTGGGGCACTAGACTGGGACTCCCGACACTTGGATTCAATTCCTGGCTCAGTCACTGCTTTGCTGAGTGATGTTGGGAAAGTCACTTCCCTCCCTATATCTCAGTTTCCCTATCTTTCAGATGGGGATAATGATAATGACTTCCTTTATAAAACGTTTTGAGATCTACGGATGAACAGTGTTAAGAGCTCAGGATTATTATTAGAACAATAAATGCCCCATTGGCCCTGTATCAGGTCTGTAGGTCCTGCAGTACCAACAGGGGTATTTATGCGAGGATTAGAGGAGCCATAAGCATATGACATTACATCTATTGTAGCGGTGCACAGGAAGGGGCTGCATCCTCACTAAACTTCATTACAATGTCAACACTACATTTTATTCTCTTATTGTGCTGTAAAATGTCAAGAAAAGTAACGGCAAATCCATAAAAGTCATGTTAAAAGTCTAACCTAAGCCAACAAAGCAAGTACGGCTGACCTTATTCTTAGCTCACTCCCTTTTGCCTTCAGGCAGCAGAACGGCATGCCATCATCAGTGTTTGAGACTCCTACAATTTCTAAGCACAGCATGGTGACACAAGGGCAGAAACATAATGGTATTTTCAATTTCAATTCATCTAATAGAATATTCACTGCCGGTTTAGATCCTCTTCCTGATGTTGTTGTAATAAAAAAAGCACTGCCTAAATCATAACATGTGATATCTGTTTTCCTTCACCTCTTTTAGAGACTGTGTGGGCTAGTGGTCAGAGCACAGAATGAGAAGGAATTCTTATCCTGGTTCTGCCACTGACTCAGTGGGAAGCCTAAGGCAAGTTACTTTATCTCTTTGCGCCTCACCTTCCCATGTATAATATGGGGTGATCATACTTACCTGCCCACCTCATTAAACTGAAGCACTATGTAACTTTTATACTTATATACTTTATAAAAGAAAGAACTGTCCCAGTGGTTACAGCATTAGCCTAGGACTTGGCTGAGCTGGGTTCAAACCTCTGCTCCTCCACAGACTTCCCTGTGTGATCCTGAGCAATTCACTTAGCCTCTCTGTGCTTCTGTTCCCCATCTATAAAATACAGCCCTTCCCTATCTGATAGGGGTGTTGTGAGGATAAATACATTAAAGATTGTGAGGCACTCTGATACTACAGTAATGGGGCCAGATAAAAGACGGTTACTCACCGTTGTAACTGTTGTTCTTCGAGATGTGTTGCTCATATCCATTCCATTAGGTGTGT